GAGGTGCTAAGCGCTAAGACGCTAGGTTAGGTTACGTAATAAGATTACGTAACTTAAGGTTATATAACCTAAGGTAAATCTCTAAACTAGACTATTATAATATTTAGAATTTGTCTAAAGTTAATTAGGCGTTTATAGAGGGCGTTATAATAGAGATAGTAGTATTTAGTAGAGGCTTAGTATTTTTAGATTATTTAATAGAGTAACTAGTTTAATAGTAAAGTACGTTATATTATATATATTTAACTAACTTTTAAGAAAAATCTAGTTTTCTTCTAGTAAGTACTATTATATCTCTATAATAATATATAAAACTTATAGTATATAGTAATTATAATATAATTAAGGTTTCTAGAAAACTTCTATAGTGCTAGCTCTTCTAGGTATAGCGTAATAAGAGATAAAAGTTAGAAAAATATCTTTTTTAGAGTTTTCTCTTCTAACTATATATATATATATATAGTTAATCTAGCTATATAAACTTATTATTTTATAAATTATAGTAGGCTTTAACTATATAGAGCTTATTAATAAATAATATAGTAGCTTTAAGTAGTTATTTAAAAGTAAAGCCTTTTTAGTAGTATAGTATAGAAAGGTAGAAAGATACTAAAATAATCTTAAAATTATTACTTCTAAATATATAGAAGGCTTATAGTATATATAATCTTATAATATATAACTTTATATAGCTAGATTATTTATATATATATATAGTTAGAGAAGAAAACTCTAAAAAGATATTTTTCTCTCTTCTATCTTTTATTACACTATATCTAGAAGAGCTAGCGCTATAGAAGTTTTCTAGAAACCTTTACTATATTATATATACTATATACTATAAGTTTTATATATTATTATAGAGATATTACTTACTAGAAGAAAACTAGATTTTTCTTAAAAGATAGTTAAATACGTATAATATACTTTATAAACAAGCTAGCTATCTAAATAAGTTAGCTACTTTTACTAAGCCTTTACTAAAAAGTCGCTATCTTAGTTAGATTACTCTAATTCTAAGCTACTTAAGATAAATTTAGATAAGCTATCTAACTTATTTATATTATCTTTAACTACTTAGTATATTTATGTATTATACTCTAGCTTACTATAGTATCTATAGCGTTACTAAGCTAGCTAGCTATTATATACTACTATCTCTTTATACTACTTCTTACTCTTATTCTAATCTATAGCCTTTTTTTAAGTAACTAGCTATAAGCTAGCTTTAATTATAAGAGTATTCTTTTTCTAAATCTACTTTTTTTTACGTAAATTATACTTTTTTTTCTATATATTAGCTACTTAAAGCTAGGTAACTTTAAACTCTATAAGTACTAGCTAATACGCTATTAGCTTATTACCTTTCTTAAGCTAATTAAGTAACTTAATAATATAAGTTAGTAATAAATTAAGATACTATATAATCTTTAATTAAATTAGACTTAATTAGAACCTTACTTTAATAAGATTACTAGATATTTTATACTTCTAAGTAGTAGTATTAGTAGTAGAGAGTATTAGTATACGTAATTAAACTTTAAGCTTTAATACTACTAAATTTAAGTTAAATAAAACTAAGCTAGTATTTCTAAACTCTACTCTAATATTATTATTTATAATTAATAGCGTAAAAAGCTATATAAAATATAAGTAGAAACTTAATTTTTATAATATAGTTAATATAGCTATATATTAGAATCTTAACTTAGTAGCTATATACTACCTTTAATAGTAAGAAGTAGCTAATATTAAGTAGCTATAAAAGAGATAATAAATATACTAGTATATAGAGAGCTATAATTTTATTCCTCTTATAGTACTACTAGAATTTAATAGAGCTATAGCTTTTATAGCTATCTAAAATTAGTAAGTAATATATATCTATAATATAACTTTTAGTATATATATTAAAGTACTTTAACTATATAATACTAACTTTATTTATTATCTAGCTACTTTTAAAGATAGCTATAATCTAGTTATATAGTAGCTAGCTACCTTTATACTATACTAAAAGGTAGTTCTTAACTATAATAATAAGAAATAGTAGAATCTATATATTATCTACTACTCTTACTATTATAATTACTAAAATCTACTTATAATTATCTAGTTAAAGACTTTTTAGTTATAATTATTTCTTAGAGCTAGTAACTATTATCTAAGGTAATATTATTTCTATTATAAAGCTAGATTTATTAAAATTATATATATTTTTATTAGTAATACTATACTTTACCTTTATATTATCTACTAGGTTAAACTACGCCTAAATAATTATAGAATTCTTTTACTTTACTTTCTAATAGTTATACTTATAATTAAGCTATATTTTAAGCTTAGAATAGCGTGTAATAAAGTTATTTAGCTAGTTTTTATTTATAACCTTTCTTCTTTACTTAGTAAGTAGCTAATTAGCTATATCTTAAATAGTAGTAAGCTAGAGAGTAAATTCTTACGCGTCTAGATTAAATATATAGTTAATTATTACCTACTCTTTATTTATAGTAAGCTTTATTAAATTAGGTATCTTTTTATATCTTTAAGTTACTCTATTACGTTAGTTCTTTAGCGTTAATTAGTAGACTCTATACGTAGCTACGGCGCGTTATTCGCTCTAGATTTAGCTAGTCTAGAGAGTAAAGAGAGCAAGCTATATTCTAGCTTTATAAGAGAATAATTCTACGTAGATAGCTAGACTTATAGTAGTTAAGATAATTTTTAGTAGAGGCTTAGCAAAAGTAGTCGGCTTGCTTAGGTAGTCGATTCGCTTGTAAAGTACGTTAGATATAATTTAAATATAAAAATCGTACGGACGCAGCTACAAACTATATTCTAAAGTAGAAAAGCGATGTTAAGAGCGCCGCAAATTGTGCTCTTATAGTTCTTTGGGCATTTACAGGTCTTTTAGCAATTACCGGTCTTTAGGCAACTACCAGTCTTTGGGCAACTACCAGTCTTTGGGAAATTTCCGGTCTTTGGGCAATTACCAGTCCTTAGGCAATTACCAGTCTTTGGGCAATTACATTAACCTTCTACTGGTCGTTGGCCTTTTACCGGTCGTTGCCTTCATTGGGCTCTTCGAACTTTCTGCAGAGCCATTGCTGGTATGATAGGGCAACGAGGAGTATAATATCGTAGATGAGGGATAGCATAGTACAAGCATGGGGGAAGAATGAACATTATTCGGCGCTTTAACCAATTCAACAAGTTGAATAAGACGATCCTAGACAATATGAGCGTGGTCTGAACACACAATTTCCCTTCCTAACGCTCAGTGAGCACTTTTCCCATAATCACGGTTTACCTAGTCCATTCCCTTTCCTCAAGTGGACTGGCCAATCAAGTCTCGCGCGTTTTTTATATGTTTGATTTGTGAGAAGGGGACACTAGGCGGAAGCGAAGGGGCTTCAGCCTCCAGAGATTTAAACCCGGCGGAACCGAATGAAAGACACGATCCGGGCCTGAGCCCGCAAGCAGTCCTGTTGCCGAATGTGGGGTCTTTGTCACGGCCCGTCCATGGTCTCCCGCCCCCCCTAAAAAGCACCATCGACGGCTTCGTCCGGCAGGCCAAGCGTTACTTTCAGCCTACGATCCAGGTCGGTGGCGGCGTAGGGCGGTCGTACGAGACGACGTCGTGATGACAAGATGGCTCCGATCCTGGAGCTGGCTCCACATCGCCCATCGCCCACTGGTGCTTCACGCCATTCACCATCGCTCCTCCTCCGCTCGTCTACGTCCTTGGCTGGCGTCATTCCTGCCGATAGCTCGTTTCTCTCTTGCTATTCGCGTAGCTTCCCGTGCAGTGTTTGATTTGTTGGGATATTCTGCAGGGACCTGAATAAGGGCATGCCGCATGCCTACCCGACCGGCCGGAGAACGTTGAGTGGGTAGCTCGCGGCGAACCGTGAATTTGGCAAGCTTGGCCCTGGCTCCCAGGCTTTGTCACCTCCTCTTGACGACAGGCGCTTCGCCAAGTGATATCGCTCCGGATTCTGCCGGTTTCGGCACCTGAATTCGTGGAGAAATACACTAGCCTTGGCGTTTCGACCGGTTGTGGGGTGGCTGTAGGGATCCCGGCTTCGCCGGGGAAGGCGATGTCGCCACAATGGACATTTGGTGGGATGGGATCGACTGGCTCGCGGCCGGTGCAGGAGAGCCTTCGAATTTTCTCGCGCAACAATTACGTGCACATGAAGTTACTGAGGTTGGAAGAGACGGCTGCGTTAGTCGCGAGTTGTGAAATGCAAGTTCACCATGCGGCGGCCACTGGGGCTGTTCGGCTCGTCCCGATTCGCACGTCACCTCGGACGCGGAGTAGACGTGATCGACGGTTTCCCACGAGTCTCCCCCATCTCCCGCTCTGGAGCGTATCCCCGGCCGCTCAGGCATAGCCACGTCACGGTCCCCGTCTTCCTCCGATTAGCCCACCACAAGACGCGGGCCACCTGTCCTGCGTCCTGAATCTGCGAGTCGGACACGGCGTCTCCTGCGCAACCCAACAAAAGCAACTCAGCACGGGAAAGCATCGCGCAAGCTGCAAGAAAGAAACGCACTGCCGACAGGATGGCGCCAGCCACATCGAACCATTTATCAAGGGTTTGGTACGAGGGAGCCGTCACAAGAGCGCCTTGACTGGTGGGTAGAGCGATCGTGGACAGCAGGTGAAGTCGAGGATGGATGGCGATGCGGAGCCGACCCGCCAAACTCTCCGCGGCACTCGACCCCGCAGCGTGACGATGCGCCAGTGACAATGCGCCGCAATGGCAGCGGGTGCTTCGGCCCGCAGCAAACCTGAATTCAAGAAACGCGGCCCCCACTCCACAGGCCGGAGGAGTCAAGGTGCTCCCTGCCATCGAATGTAGATCGCCATCGATTAGAGTGACTCTTCAGTCCTCTTGCAGCAACATGCACCTGATTTGCGGATTGAGCGTGTGGCGCCGTGAGGTTCCACACCGGACTGGACAGGCCCTGAAGATGGCCACAGACCGCCCAGAATATTTAGCTATCGTGGATGCCAACTCTGGCTCTCGAACCATGAACGACGAGGCAGAACGAGAAAGTAACGGACTCGAGCCTCGACATTCGATCTGCCCAATCCAGCCTTCCTGCCTGATCCAGCCTTCCTGCCTCGAACATGTTGGCCGCCGAACCGCTTTGGTTCCTCGCCGGAGTCTGCTTGGCCACCTGCGTGGCCGCAGACGCCGGTGATGATATCGCCAACAACTTGCCTACCGACCTAGCCCCGTACGTATCGCCATCTACTCGGCGTGGTCCGTGTATTAACGCTGCATCGCACGCAGCCTGCTGGCTCTCTTCGGAGAAAGGGTCACCACGCAGTTCATGAGCCAATCTACGGGCTGGGCCGACAACATCATCCTAGCGATGGCCCCGTTGGGCGTAATCACAGCTATTGTTGGCGCCATCAGAGTCGGCGGCCCGTCGTGGCTCAAGGCCATCATTGGAAGAGCAAGGGAGAGCCGAGCCGTTGCCGAGGCCGAGCTGATGTCCTCCACCTCGAATGAGGTGTGTGAGCTCTGGAACGGCGGGGAGGTCGTTAGAGTAATGGGCGCAGGGCCTATTCGGGAATTCATCATCCTATTGCCCGATGACTGGACGAGTGGCCCAATTATTGCCCAGAACGTGCGGGTCAAGGAATTGAAGGATCCCGAAAAGGAGTATCTCGAGGACCGCGGTTAGTAAGCGCGCATCGACCTTGTTATTGCCGTATCTTACCTTCCCATTAGGGCCTAACTTCCGAGAGCGCATCACCGGCCATCTTCATGACTGTAAGAACAGTTCCAACACCGCCTCTGGCCGTGAGGAAGGTTCCAACACCTCCCCGGTCATTCTTCGAAACACCGTTGACCATGAGCTCAATCTCACCCCCGCACCCAATCTCACCCTCAATGTTCAAAACCAAGTACGCAGGGTAGAGCTCTACGTGGTTGCGTTAATTGGCATTGCCCTTCAACTTGGTGTCGTCCTTTATTCTGGATTTGCCACCTATCATCCGGCCCTCATGTTGCCCAAGGATGGAAACCCCGTCGCTGACTACGCCTTTCCCTGCACTGCGGCCGGTACGGTGCTCCTAGTAGCCGGTATGCTAATGTGTGCCTACGTTATCGAGACCAGCACGACGGAACGGACATACCGTCGAGTGGATGGGAGGAAGGCTCGAATTGTCTGGTTGCAGAAATCCGGAACCGTTAACGATCAGGCCTTCGAGCCCTTTGCAATTTTCCCAAGTAATGCACAGCTTCTGGTTACAACATCTCGCCGAGCACCAGGACCAAAAAACTTCGCGGCTGTCACTGGTACAATAGTCAGCATCTGCGGCTTCATCGTGCAGTTCGTCGGTTTACGCGGCATGCACTGGTCTGCCCCGGTCGCCCAATTTGGCGCAACTGTCGTCATGACCACTCTCAGAACATTGGTCCGTCGCCATCTTGCAAAACCTCTAGAGTTCCGGCCTCTTCTTTCAGGCCATGAGATGGATTGGTTGGCCATGACTCTCGGCGGAGACAGTGCGAAGGCCCCTTGGCTGAAACCTCTCCAGACGAAAGGGAACACACGTTGCAGACCCCGGCGCGGCGACAAGGATAACGGCAGGAAGTGGGACAAGTATGATAGACCCTGGCTTGACGACAACGGCGACGGCTGGGACTGGAGAATTGCCGCAGTTGAAGTTCCGGAGGACTGCAAAGAACTAGAACCGCGCTCCGGCACCAGCCGGTCCAGCCCAAATCCTGACAGACTGATAGAACAACTGCAGGACCAGGAGGACTCAACGGCCCACAGAGTGATGTTGATAAGGAGAGGCCTTGGTGCGCTGGCAGACTGGCATGGGCCCGCCTCTGCAGAGGCAATCTCCCTGGCCCAAGCCATTGAGGTGACCATGGACGCCCTTTTTGGTCCTAAGCCGTTGAAGGGAACTTTCACCTGGTCAATCCCGGCCTTCAAGTCTTTAAAGGGGACTGACCTTGAGCCAATCAACTTTCGCGTGGAATTACTCGAAAACGGGAAGTGGAAAGCCTACTCGGACGAGATCGAAGCAGCGCTTTCCTTGTGGCTGTATTCGGTCTACGAACTGGAGAATCCAAAAGATGTCAAGGAAAACAAAGGACAGGATACCAAGGACGACGCGTGGTTGCGGGCTAAGGGGACACCGGCAAAACAGAGCCTGCGGCTCCTTGGCTCATACTCGCGGGCCCTGCACCAGCATCTCCAGTGGTGGATGCCTAATGATGCCGTCAGAGTCAGCGAAGTTGAGGCGAGCAGCAACGGCACCACAATCAAGGCGGAGATCCATCGAATTGTCGGATTCGCATCAAAACCAGCTCTCACACAATTCTACGAGATCAGGCCGCCTCCAGGACCCCCTAGCAAAGATGCTACTGACCACCAAGATGGTGATGGAAAGACTGCGAATGTGATCTTGGCGGTCGAATCATACAAACCCCTAGTGACTTTATTTGCCCAGCACATGTTCTCCGTCTTCATGTGGGCCGCAGCGAAGAAAATGGCGGGTCCTATTCCCGGCGAAGCGGACATACGCTCTGCAGAAACAGACCGGGCGAGTCACGATCCGGCATGGCAGTCTTTCATGCTACACAACAGCCAGCTTTCCAAAATGGCCCAAGACATCCACAGCACCGGGCTTGGAAGCCTAGAAGATGTCTACCTATGCATCATTCCACCACTCAGCGGAGAGGATAAGGTACCACGGGCCGATGCCATTATCGAGTGGACACGAGACCATGCTAAGCAACATGAGCAGCTTGGGCATTGGAAGGATGCCGCTGGCGCATACCTGTGGCTCTTTCTAACGGCAACGATATTCCCAGAAAAGAGTGGCATTTTTACTAAAGCCACTGCAGTCTTGGTTGAACATTTAGGGGAAGTCAACCGAACCATCGAATTAAGAGAAGCTCAACAATACGAGGAAAGAGATATCGAGGACCTAAGGGGTGTGAAGTCGAAACTTGAAGGCAAGCTGAAACAACTTATTCGGTCTGGGATCTTACTAAACCTTATGAGGTTATATGAGGAACAGGATCGTCCGTGGAACAGCAACCCTGTGCAAGCAACCAAGCTTGCTAGGGATGATGACAGAAGTTCCCCTAACACACGCAACTCCACGGAGCTGCATCGGCTTGCTAGATCCGATAAAGTGAAAGACCTCAAGAAACGCTTGGAAGAGGGAGCAAACGTGAATGCAAGGGATATCCATGATCGTACGCCGCTCCATTGCGCCGCACGGGAAAGACAGGAACGTGCCGCCAAAGTACTGGTGGAGCATGATGCGAATGTCAATGCCCGGGACCTTCTCGAATGTACACCACTACATTACGCCGCAGCCACACAGAATCAATGGGTGAGTGCGGTCAAAGCACTAGTGGAAGGTAGCGCAGATGTCAATGCCCGAGACATTCTTGAATGGACACCAGCACATTACGCTGCACAGAAGGGAACCGAAAACGCCGTCAAAGCACTGCTGCAGGCCAACGCGGATGTCAATGTTCGAGACCTTCTTGAATGCACACCGCTACACTACGCCTGCGGCCGTGGTGAGACTTCAATCGTACGACATCTGCTCCGAAACGGCGCGGAAATTGATGCGCGTGGCAGAAATGGAGCAGCACCACTACACTGTGCAGCAATACATAACCGTATGGATGTGGTGAGTTTGTTGATTGAAACAGGAGCGACTATTGATGTTCTGGACGCCTCAGGAAGTACACCGCTACATTGGGCTGCATATAAAGGGCATCAGAGGGTCGTTAAGTATCTATGGGAGAACGCGAATAAAAAGCTACGAGACCATAATGGCAGAACTGCCTTGCATCTAGCAGCAACAGCGGGAATGGCGGAGGTGGTCAAATTTGTTCTCAAAAATCAACCAGATGCCGCCAGAGAGGCCAAGGACCAGCATGGCCGGACGGCGCTGCACCTTGCGGCTGCGAGCGGGCATGAGTCTGTCGTCAAGGCGCTGTTCGAGGAGAAAGCCAGCGAAAAGGCGACGGATAGCGACGATCGGACACCGCTCCACCTAGCCGCTGAGAGAGGGCGGGGGGCGGTTGTGAAGCTGCTCATCAAGGCGGGTGTTGAAACGGAGGCCGAGGACCGGTATGGCC